CAGGGATCCTGGACCAAGAGCCTTCATACTCTACCCTCCAGCCCAGGATGGTAAGTGTGTTCACTAATCCTGTGTTTATTACATGTCATGGGCCAGGGATCCTTGACCAAGAGCCTTCATACTCTACCCTCCAGCCCAGGATGGTAAGTGTGTTCACTAATCCTGTGTTTATTACATGTCATGGGTCAGGGATCCTGGACCAAGAGCCTTCATATTCTACCCTCCAGCCCAGGATGGTAAGTGTGTTCACTAATCCTGATGTTTTCATTGAAAAATCATACTCTCCTCCCATCCAAGATAATATTGGGTAAGTTCATTCCCTGACCTTTGGAATCTAATGCTATAGGCCTCTACCCAAATTATTAAGTAAGTTCAGTTGCCCTTCAGCCTTCAAACTCTATCCACTGGTCCAGGACATTAAGTATACTGCTTTGTCCAGATTGTCATATATATGCTCTACTATCCTATCTAGGACATTTTGTATGTTGCTTTGCTCAAGGACAAGGCTCTTATCTAGGGAAAGGGTATTCCTAGGAACATCATTTGATGTGACTCATCTTAAAACACTGTAGTTTGATTTGCAATCTTACAGTGGAGCCCCCTCTTTCATTGAAGGTTATCAATCAGTTTCTTTAAAATGTTTCACTTCAATGAAACTGGGAATACATGTCATATTTGTGGGCTACTTTCAAAGTTTGGGTTAAGATAAAACCACAGAATAAAAGAGCTGCAGTTATTTTTATTTAGAATTACAAATGTTACAACCATACTAACCCTATGTACTGTGTCTACTACTCACATGTTAAATATTTCCTGTAACCAGGATCAGAGGAGTCTGAAGCAGAGCGTCTTGTGGACTACCTGGACAATGAAGAGGCATCCTGCTCAGATAATTTGGACATTGGACTGACTAACACTTTGCCACTGGACATCTGTTTAAATGAAGGATACCTGCATAAGCCTTGTAACATCATTATTGTACGGTAAGTCCTAACTGGAGTTTGTAGGCATAGTGTAACACTCCTAAAATATAGTTCATGTAACAAGTTAAGACATAACATTGTTGAGGTGTTATCGGTCATGACAGGTGTATGTAAATAGGAACAAGTGAGATGACACCTGATTGGATTGTGTTGTAGGAACAAAGGTACAAGCTTTACAGTGTCCAGTCTGTCCAAAGGTCAGTGTCATGCTGTGGTGCTGGAGACTCAACCATCTACTTACAACTTTAACATCCATGAATACTTCGTAAACGTTAAAGGGTAAGAAATTTGCATTAGTAAGTCAAAAACCTGGATATGTGATCAGTCAGTAGTGCACTGTGTTACAGGTACAGGAATGTTCTGCATTGGAAACCTGATGATTTCGATAGATATTATATTACAACTGACATGTTTTGTGGTAGGTCCCTGTTGCCCTCGATGACCCACCACACCACACTGATTGAGGCGTTGGACAAGCACCTCCACACAGGCAGTTCTAACATCCTGTACCTGGACATGCCTGAGCTATTGTGGGACCTAATCGGACCTCTCCTGGATTCTGGACATGTTCAGGTACCCCATCTTGTGCTAAGGGTCTCATCATATCAGTGAAATCAAGATGTCATCACGGTTAAGTTGTAAATACAAGTACTTTTAAAGGAGCAGTTAACTTTTTGTATAAAAAACAAAAACTTCTAATTATCTGTATTTATCATTTGGTATTTTTATTGCCTCAATATCAGATGTAGTTCTAAGGTTGTCTAATTAATTCTAACACTATAAGAACCAACATTTGATGGAATGGAATGGCTTAGTAAATCTATCTACTGCTTATGTCAATATCAGTGATGTTTAAGTCCAACTTAAATAATATTTTCAATCTTTTATTTTCATTTCAGAGTGTAAATCAACTGATAGTAGATGTTGATGTTTGGAATGAACACAGTGTAAAGCCCTCACATAATATCCGTCGGAGATTCAGTGAACTCAAAAGAATTGGAGCCTACGGGTTCCAGATTTACAAGTCCAAAACTCTGCTAGATACTCACACATTACACTTCCAGAGTAACCTTAAGACAAACAAAAAGTGTTGTCACAGAGTGAACTTTGTACGTACCAAGCATGTCAGTATTACATAATACATGGTGACATTTGATCACTGCTAGGATGGTATTTGTGATAGATCGATGTGTGTGTGTGAGTATAGACATGTAGTTAAACTATTATTTATGTTGAGTTTAACTATCAACTGAGATTGAGGCTCTTATTATTGCATCAGGTTCAACCTTATAAACATGCTCAAATAAGCTTTTTCATGATGTATCAACCATCGTCTGTCCTGTGTTCACCAGTCTAAGCACAGGACCACCCCAAGGTTCAACCTGCTGCATAGCAATCAATGTTTGAGATATTATTTTCTGAAAACATACGCATGTAGTTAAATCGAATGTTCATGAATCAAAGTTATCTAATTTTGATGAGAACATATGCTGCATCATATTTTGAGTATGTATACAAAGTTCAGCCTTAACGACCATAGTTTAAACATGAACAAAAATGAAAATAAAAGAACATGCACAGTGAATAAAACAGTCATTAACAGTCAAGTACTGGTAGGATCAAAAAATGTTTTCTATGAACTTGAGCAGAAGTCATACTTGTGATTTTAATATATTTGGGCTGTATCCTTGTCCTCTTGATAAAATAGTCTTATTGAGAAGAAAAACTATTTCAAGTATAGTTTCAATTGTTAAAACAAGTTAAATTTTCCCCATCAAAATAGCCAACTGTTCAGTAAATACTAAAAGTAATAAGGTTTAACAGAAAATGATCTTCATCTCTGTAGAAAGGCCTCTGGTTGTACATTCAAATGTATCTCGGTATGATATATCCCGTATGATATCCAGTATGATATCTCGGTATGATATATCCAGTATGATATCTCGGTATGATATATCCAGTATGATATATCCAGTATGATATATCCTGTATGATATCCAGTATGATATCCAGTATGATATATCCAGTATGATATCCAGTATGATATCCCGTATGATATATCCAGTATGATATCTCGGTATGATATATCCCGTATGATATATCCAGTATGATATCTCAGTATGATATATCCAGTATGATATCTCAGTATGATATATCCCGTATGATATCCAGTATGATATCCAGTATGATATCCAGTATGATATCCTGTATGATATATCCCGTATGATATCCCGTATGATATATCCAGTATGATATCTCGGTATGATATATCCCGTATGATATATCCAGTATGATATCTCGGTATGATATATCCCGTATGATATCCAGTATGATATCCAGTATGATATCCCGTATGATATCCAGTATGATACTCACCCTTAGGTAGCGTACACCTATCAGTATTTTGTGTAGTTGTTTATATCTTGTACATAAATCTGTTGTACTCCATGTCAGCTCAGTTTTGTTAGCCTGATAGAGACCGCCTCATCAGCTTTATTCTAGAACGTTTAATGGTGAGATGTATGAACTGATTAAAGTTTGGTGAAAAGTCACCGATACTTAAAACTAAAACATTTACCAGATGGACGTAGACAAAGACTTAAGGGGTTTAATGCAACAAAGTAACATTTTTACTTAAAACTGATTTCTGATCTCAGTCTTTTAGTACAAACTCTAAAAAGGTTGAATTCACAATGTCTAGATAGATGCCATTTCTATGTAAGTACTATTTCTATGTAAGTACTATTTCTATGTAACTTCTATTTCTATTTTCTATGTAACATATTATTTCTACATAACATACTTTAGTAATATTTTTACATAACATAATATTTCTTTATATTTCTTTATAACATAATATTTCTTTAAAACATACCATTTCTATATAACATACCTTTTCTATATAATATAACATACCATTTCTATATAACATACCATTTCTATATAATATAACATACTATTTCCACATATGTATAACATTCTGCATAATGTATCCCAAGTGTTACATACTAACCAAATGTTCCTGGTCACATATTGTGTAGTTTTGTGGGGCTAGTATTTTGCAGTTATTCTGATCGGGGCTATCTCACAGGAAGTAAGTTTTGTGTGACGTGTGCTGCATGCCACATTTGTTCTGATCGGAGCTATCTCACAGGAAGTAAGTTTTGTGTGACGTGTGCTGACATGCTACAGTTGTTCTGATCGGAGCTATCTCACAGGAAGTAAGTTTTGTGTGACGTGTGCTGACATACTACAGTTATTCTGATCGGGGCTATCTCACAGGAAGTAAGTTTTGTGTGACATGTGCTGCATGCCACAGTTGTTCTGATCGGAGCTATCTCACAGGAAGTAAGTTTTGTGTGACGTGTGCTGCAGGCCAAAGTTGTTCTGATCGGAGCTATCTCACAGGAAGTAAGTTTTGTGTGACGTGCGCTGCATGCCACATTTGTCCTGATCGGAGCTATCTCACAGGAAGTAAGTTTTGTGTGACGTGTGCTGCATGCCACATTTGTTCTGATCGGAGCTATCTCACAGGAAGTAAGATTTGTGTGACGTGTGCTGCATGCCACAGTTGTTCTGATTGGAGCTATCTCACAGGAAGTAAGTTTTGTAAGACAGGTGCTGACATGCTACAGTTGTTCTGATTGGAGCTATCTCGCAGGAAGTAAGTTTTGTGTGACGTGTGCTGACATGCTACAGTTGCTTCACTTCCTACCGATCAATATATTTAAGAAAGCGTCTTCCAAATTAAATTGGTCACACGGCTGCAACAAATTTGCAAATGACAATAAAATAATATATTTCTGAATAAGATTAAAATGCAGACTGACAAATTTGCTTAATGGAATTCATTGTACAAAAAATACAAAATTGATTTCTTGTTTTGTCTCCATTTTTTGGCGGCAAACAAGTAAACACATTCACAGGGATTATGAATCATGCTAATAATGTTTACACATTATTTAATTTTGCGCAACCTATGAACCTAGGTCCATTGATCTGAGTGATATGTGTGTACCTAGGTCCATTGATCTGAGTGATATGCGTGTACCTAGGTCCATTGATCTGAGAGATATGTGTACCTAGGTCCATTGATCTGAGAGATATGTGTGTACCTAGGTCCATTGATCTGAGAGATATATGTATTAAGTGAATTGGGAAACATGTTAGGCTATCTAGATATATCTATTATTCCTACTTTGGAAAGTTTTATCTCAGAACAAGAAGTTCATTATAAATGTACGAGGATTTTGAGGGTGAAGACACATACAATGTGTGATCCCTTGGCCAGTCTATAGGTACATTACTGCCTGCCTTTATGTAATCATTACTCAGTAGTATCACACAGGTATGTTTTTCGTCTACTTCCATCAATAGGGTGATGTTAGTTTTTTTTTATACCCATATCTAGTCTAAACATTACTGTATCGTTGTGCGGCAGTAGTCATCATGAACATTTTTGCTTATGTTTTTTATATATTTGATCATGTTGTTTTATTTTGTAATTTCATGTCCTTCATCAAGGACAATATAGCTGTGTAAATTTTCATGATTATAATCTTTTAAATGGTATAAATATGATTTTAAATGCTTTGATATTTTAATGTGTATTTATTTTTTGTAAGAAAACAGGTAATAATGGTCATACTTGTATGAAATCTGTAAACCTATAATTTGTCATGCATGCATCTAATTTTGATGGGACATCTTACGGTAAAGGGCAACCGTCTGTTGGAATATAACCTGCTCAAATATCCTTCAATTTTCACAAAGCTTTTGTAAGCTATTCAAAGACCAAGGCAAGGATTCTGTACATTAACTTAATAAGATGGGAAGGTTTTAATGAATATTTACACTGTTAGTGAAATGTGCCAGTAGTTAATAAGCACTTGGGAATGTCTTTGGTTTTAGTGATTAAAAATAAATCAGTCAAAGGGAAGAAGGGGAAAGATAATACCAATTTCTCTTTTAATGTTGAGAAAGACGGGCAAAGGGAAGCAATTGTTATACAAATAAACATTTTTGGATGGGTAGTTGTCATAGCATGATTCATTTATCATACAATTTCCATTATGTATAATATTGGTAATACATGTAATATAATAACAAAACCGTTTTGTCACATTATTTGGGTTGTATTTCAATGATAATGGGCATAACATTTTCTGTATTGCTGTACTTCAATGAGTTGTATAGTGTCTGTAAGTGTTATGATGATCTAGTTCTATGCCACGGCTCATTGCCTTGTTAGATTTATCTTAGGATTTGTAATAGATAAGGCAGTGTATATTGTATTTATATGCCATATATTGTAAGCTGGGCTTGAATTGTTTTAGTTTTTGTCTTTTATTTATCATCTTTAATAAAATATGACCCGATGCTATCTGACTTATGTTTATAGTGAATTAAAGAATCTTTATATATCAATATAAATGTAAAATACATCTATTAGTAAAGAGGAAAATCACCAGCCACCGAATGTGATACTGCAGTTATACTGTA